AACAAGGCTTCATCTCCAACACATTCCACTGATTCTAGTGATTAGAATTGGAGGAGGAATTCTTCTTCCAAAGGTGAACTTGAAGCTATTGACTGTCACGGACACGCGCTCCCCCTGCAGCTATAATCTATTTTAGATTCTGGCCCCCACATCTTGTACCGCCGGCCTACCCAAATTTGCGGGACACGCCTGCCCGAACTCCTTTTGTACGGGAAGACTTCGACACAAGGCACACCTACAATTTTTTCCATTTCTTCCTTCTCTCCATCTGCGTCAGAGGGCACTGTTTAGAACTCAAATATTTAAAGTGATTAGTAAGAGGACAACTAACCGCTTTAGCAATTCTCCATTTCTAACCTTTGAGTATTTTCTCAACGTAACTTCTTCTTGTTGACACCTAATTTTCTTTGGTCTTCGATCTTTCATGCCACGGAATTTTGCTTTGCTGTCCTAAGTCTTTCATGAAAAAAAGACTACTTAGCTGCTATCTTCAAGCTAGAATTTAACCAACAGGTCACCCATAATCAACCACATGAGCAAAAATAATATGTTATCATCAGAGAATATTACACAGTGATCTGAGTAGCTCTTTCTTGTTTAGCCTTGCTCCCCTAACAGGACTCAAAACTTTCTTGTACCACTGTCTCAGTGCCATTAGGCTTCAAGCCATTAAGACTTTTCTTCAAGTTTGCAAACACAATCCTTCTTTTTCTACAAACTTCTCTCGGTTGCATCCATGTACTATTTCTTCTTCCAAATTCATCCATTTAGGGAAGGTAGTTCTTTCCATCCATTTTGCTCAATTCCAGATCAAAACTGCGGCCGTTCCGAGCACTGTCCAAATGGCATTGTCATATCACAACTTGTCTAGCTTTGAATCGTTGGTTGGGAGCTGTGTTCTTCCTGCTTCATCCATGAACACCCACTTGTTTTTCAAAGCTTTCTTCCTCTTTGGGCAACTCCACCAGCTCAAATGTTTCATCCTCATGCAAGGACTTCATTTCATCATGCACGGCTTCAATCCAGTTCCTTTTTGTGTTCATTTCATAAGCTTCTTCCAAAGCTTTCAGGTTCTCCCCGTCAGTCTGTCAGTACATATCATTGACTGGATATCCTAGTAGTGGTTGTCAGACTACATAGATCTTCTTTAATGTTTGAGCCTTCTGGAGCTGGGTGGCTGAACTGAAAACCACAGTCTTCATTCTGGTTCCATTTTCATTTAGGAAACTTCTGAGTTTTCTAACTACGGCACATTGTTCTTGTAGGAACATTTTCCTCATCTTCCAATTTGTTTGCGGTCTTTGGGAGGTACTCTCTGTTAATGTATGTTGAGTCTTCATCAGATCTATATCGGCACATCTGCTTTTAATAATCTTCATAAGTCTTGATTCTTCAACAATACAGCATCACGATTTCTTATAATTTCGTCTTCTGGTTAGGTCATAAAACCTATAGCCACATTGTCTTGGCACATAGCCAATGAACTAACGAACACCATCTAGTCTTGACATCAAGCTTAGACGTTCATCCTATCGGGGGACATGGTACGAAGGCTTGCATCAAACCACCCGCAAATGTATCATAAGGAACATTCCTTTCCTACACCATACTCTACTTCTGGAGTAGTATCATACTGTAGAGGGAAACAGAGTGAACGGCGAAACTACTGTGAAGTAACGCTTCACCCCAATCTTTTAGACAAACTTTGATGTGAAGAGTTCAAACATCATGACTCTCTCCATCCAAAGTTCTGTTCATCCCTCTCAGCCAAACTGGTTTCAGTGCGGCTTCTGGATGTGTCATTTTGATTCGGAATGCCATGCTCTTTGCCAGAGCATCATGGCCTAGTGTAATTCTCACATTATCTGTCCTGAATACACTTCAGCTTCTTTGCTGTCTTATCCGCTCAATCATGTTTAGAGACTTTCATGTGTATTACCCAGGTTCTTTCCATAGAATGGTCATCGATTAAATATCACAAAATATGATTTCCACCATTATGACATCGTCAAATGGTCTACCACAAATACTGAATGAATCAGATTCTTAATAACATTCTTTCATTCTAAAAGAGGGGTAATCTTGAAAGCTTACTCTGTTGAGCTTTCCGCCATACAATCAGGGACACTTGTCTAGGTAGAACTTCATCCAATCCAGGTAGATACGTATTCTTTCTTGCCAGCACGTTTTCTTACTCATTGTGGCGTAGTCGTTATATAGCCACAATTCAACCTGCTACTGTCATTTCTCCGCTACACTCAAAGTGTCATTTGGGGAGAGTTTTCGCATGCTCACGTAACGCTTTTAGCTTCTTTAGCTATACAAATGAACCTTTTTGTGAGCTTCTCCACTTGGACCATTTCTAAAAGGCTGCTACAGGGAAACTTTATCATCAACAATTCTGCCAACGAGATTTGGATGCAATGCTCTCAAAGCCCCATTTCTCATTCGTCTTCTCTTCCAGGTTTAGTTTCAACTAAACACAAGACAAATGCACTTTTGATTACCTAAGCGATGACTCTTACACTTTCTCCATATATGGTAATTCTCGCCATCTTAGACTAATTCTCACTTTTTGCTTGTCCATTTTGACTTGCGCAGATATCCATCAACCAACATAACCGTACGTGACATCAGCTAGTTTACGTGAATAAGTGACCATGATGTACACGTATACTCGAATAGTAACTGTATGCGTAAATAAGTAACTGTTCACGTGTGATAGTACTAGCGTCAATAGTGGCTGGGCTTACTTGACGACTCAGCAACAGTACGCCAATAGTACTGTTCACCATCAACTTGAGTTGTACTATCTTTTTACTATTCATCCTAAGTCGATTCTGCAAGTCTTTTCGAGCGGACAGGCACCAATGGATTCGTTTTCGTAATTTTCTCCTTTCATCGTGATATATTTATTTTCAACAATATATCTAACGGATCCGGGGTAGCTATCTGACCTGGCCTGACTGCCGGAAAACCTTTCGGCATCTGTTACCACTTGTTTAGAGATAATCGACTACTGATACCAGTTGGTTGCGGCATCACTCTGATACCATCGTTGGGCCCTTTTAACCAATACAGAGAAATAATTACCGGGCAGCGGATAATGAAAATGGGACACACAGAAATTTTACGTGGTTCACCTCAACTCTTTTAGGGCTCACGTCCACCGGGACAAATCCGAATATCTTCTCCACTATGTTAACCAATTTAGTTAGCGTACAACAGAGAGTAATACAAAAATAGTGGCACACAAGTTGTTCCCAACAAACACCCCAAATAATCATCTCCTATTTTTCTCTCTCCTTAGTTTTAGGAAACCCTTCCTAAAACTAGATAACTAACTCATCTACATTTTTTTCTTCGTATTTTCTGCTTGTGATTGTATTGTGCGTTTCTGCCTCTGCCTTATTTATAGAGGTTAAACGGTAGATGCCGTATGTTACAACTTCTTTCAAAGTTGACCACCGCCATGTGCTATCCTGTTGAACTGGCTGCTCCTATTTTTCTTTTTTTCCTTACTTTCACACATGTGGGGTTCCATTTAAGTGGGCACACCACAACAATTCTTCCCCCTGCACACCTTAAGTGGGAACATTAGCCATATTCTCCATCATTCCTGGCAACTTATCCGACAAGATAATTTCAAATTTTCCTTTGAAAAGGATCTTTCGTCAACCTGACTGGTCCATTTTTCTCCTGTAAATGAGATCATTCTCAAGCTGTAACAGCTTCCATCTCCAACACATTCCCTGAATCTAGTGATTAGAACTGGAAGGAGGAATTCTTTCCAGCGTGAATTGGTCTTTAGACCTGTCACCGGACACGGCTCCCCCTGCAGCTATTATTCTATTGATCTGCCCCACCATCTTGTACGCCCTACAACTTTGCGGGGACACGCCGCCCGAACTCCTTTTGTCGGGAAAGACTTTTCGACACAAGGCAAACCTACAAGATCTTTTTCCATTTCTTCCCTTCTCTCCATTCGTAGAAAGGGCACTGTTTTAGAACTCAATTTTAAAGTGATTTTAGGTAGAGGACAACTAACCGCTTTGCATTCTCCATTCTTAAACCTTTGACAGTCTTTCTCAACGTACTTCTCGTGAACAACCATAATTTTCTTGGCTCTTTCGACTCTTTCATGCCAAGAAATTTGCTTTGGCTGGTCCTTAAGTCTATTCATGAAAAAGATACTTAGCTGCTATCATTCAAGCTATAGAATTCTAACCAAACAGTCAACCATATCAACACATAGAGCAAAAATAATATAGTTATCATCAGAGATATAAACACAGTAGATCTGAGAGTTTAGGTCTTTCTGTAGCCTTGTCTCCCCTACAGACTCAAACTTTCTGTACACTGTCTCAAGTTGCCTGCTTCAAGCCATACAGACTTTCTTCCAGTTTGCAAAACAATCCTCTTTTTCTTACAAAAAACTCTCTGGTTTGCTTCCAATGTTATATTCTTCTTCCCAAATCTCCATTAGGAAGGTAGTCTTTC